ATCTGAGGGAGGTATTGGAGACCCTGAGGAGGGAGAGCTTGTATGCCAAGTTCTCCAAGTGTGAGTTTTGGTTGCGCGAGGTGCAATTTCTTGGACACCTCGTCAACCAGAACGGGATTCTGGTTGATCCGGCCAAGGTCGAGGCCGTGATGAGATGGGAGGTCCCGAAGTCTCCATCTGAGATTCGGAGCTTCCTGGGATTGGCGGGCTACTATCGGAGATTTATCCAGGATTTTTCCAAGATAGCCGTACCCCTGACACGGCTGACGAAGAAAGCCGTGGTCTTTCGGTGGGGACCCGAGCAGCAGGCTGCATTTGAGACGCTGAGACGGAGACTGTGTGAGGCGCCGATCTTAGCCCTGCCAGAGGGCGTAGAGGATTTTGTGGTCTATTGTGATGCGTCCGTTTCTGGGTTGGGCGCAGTACTGATGCAGAGGGGGCATGTCATTGCCTACGCTTCAAGGCAGCTCAAGCCTCACGAGGCGAACTACCCGACGCACGATTTGGAGTTGGGGGCGGTGGTCTTTGCCCTCAAGATTTGGCGACATTACCTCTACGGGGTTCGGTGTACCATCTACACGGACCACAAGAGTTTGAGGTACCTCATGGACCAGCCGAATCTGAACATGAGGCAGCGTCGGTGGTTGGACGTGGTGAAGGATTATGATTGCGAGATCCTTTACCACCCGGGGAAGGCCAATGTGGTGGCCGATGCGCTTAGCCGCAAGGCGGTGCCGATCAGGGACGTTGCTTGAGGATGACCGTGGTGACTCCCCTATTGGAGCAGATTCGGGAGGCTCAACAGGAGGCTATCAAGGAGGAGCATCGAAGAGCGAGCGTGTGGTGGGTCAGGTTTCCTCCTTTGATTATGATGGCCGAGGACTTTTGACACTACACCGTAGGGTGTGGGTGCCGTATCACGGAGGCGTGCGCCAGATTTTGATGGAGGAGGCGCACAAGTCCCGATTCTCTATTCATCCCGGGGCGACGAAGATGTATAGGGATCTTCGTCCGGATTACTGGTGGCCCTGCATGAAGCGGGATGTGGCATGGTACGTCGAGCGGTGTTTGACCTGCAGGAAGGTCAAGGCCGAACATCAGAGACCGCATGGCAAGATGCAGCCGTTGGACATTCCACTGTGGAAATGGGAAGATATCACGATGGATTTTATCACGAAGCTTCCCAGGACCGCACGTGGAGTGGATTCGATTTGGGTCATCGTGGATAGATTGACCAAGAGTGCTCACTTTATTCCATTCAGGAGAGCATATCGGCCGAAAAATTGGCCGACATCTATATCAGGGAGATTGTGGCACGGCATGGGGTGCCAGTATCGGTGATCTCGGACAGGGATGTGCGTTTTACTTCCAGATTTTGGAAGAAATTCCATGACGAGTTGGGCACTCGTCTGCATTTTAGCACCGCCTTTCACCCGCAGACGGATGGCCAGAGCGAGCGGACCATCCAGACTCTGGAGGATATGCTGCGGGCGTGCGTGCTAGACTTGGTGGTAGCTGGGATACCTATCTTCCCCTGGCCGAGTTCTCCTACAACAACAGCTACCACGCGAGTATCGACTGCCCTCCCTTCGAGATGTTGTACGGACGGAGGTGTAGGACCCCGATATGCTGGGGTGAAGTTGGCCAGAGGGTCATGGGGAGCACCGAAGTGGTGCTCAGACGACCGAGAGGATCCAACAGGTCCGGAGCAGGCTTCAGACTGCTCAGAGTCGGCAGAAAAGTTATGCCGACAAGCGTCGATCGATTTGGAGTTCCAAGTCGGGGATATGGTTCTCCTGAAGGTGTCGCCTTGGAAAGGCGTCATTCGATTCAGGAAGCGGGGCAAGTTGGGCCCGCGATTCATCGGACCGTTCAGGGTCGTAGCCCGGGTGGGCAGGGTGGCGTACAGGTTGGATCTGCCAGCCGAGCTCAGCCAGATCCACAGCACTTTCCATGTTTCTCAGTTGCGGAAGTGCTTAGTGGACGATTCAGCAGTAGTGCCTTTGGAGGATATTCAGGTTGATGACAGCTTGAATTACATTGAGCGCCCAGTCGCAATCCTCGACAGGAAGTCGAGGGATTTGAGGAACAAGAGAGTGGAATTAGTGAAGGTGCAGTGGCAGCACCGCAAGGGTTCGGAATGGACTTGGGAGCCTATGGACGAGATGATGGAGCATTACCCCGAGCTGTTTCAGGATCGAGCAGTAGACTTCGAGGACGAAGTCTAAAATAAGTGGGGGAGATTTGTAGCACCTGGTTTCTGGTATGTAAATCTTATTCGAACATTTCCCATTTTAGCCTTGGACTCGGCGAGTCATGGGTCCGACTCGCCGAGTAGAGACGCGATCCAGGTCACGTTTTAAGTTGGCGACTCGGCGAGTCGCCGCTGTTGGATGAAACCCTAAGTTTCAGGGGTTTGCACCCTATTTAAACGACTTAACTGCCCCAAGCCAGCCCCCATTCACCCTTAGAGCCCTGTATACCTCGTCCTAAGCCATTCCTTGAGAGTTTGAGACTTTTGTGGGTGTTTTTGAAGGTTTTGAAGGAGGAAAGAAGTAGATCCAGAAGAAGGAAAGCCAACCAAGCAACTATTGTGTTCTTCCAGCAGTTCCTTTGAGGTATAACCCGTTTTCCCCATGATTCTATGCTTAAAACTTCATTTGGGTCTTTCTTGGTCAAGTCCCCAAGCTCGTATGTGCCTTATATGTCGTATTAAGACGTTTGGCCTCTGGATCTAGGCAAGATTGAGCTCCAGGAGCTCAGATCTGTTAGCTTTATGGCCCCATGTTGCTTGTTAGCCCTAGATCTACCCTTTTAAGGCATTTTGAGCCCTAAAATCCATATTGGTGAATATCCACACGTAAAGTTGGAAACTTTACGTGTGATTTGTGTCCTAGAAGTCCAGATCTATGAATGGCATGGACTGAAATCGAGCAAATCGGTGTATTTGGTGGATGCATGGCGGCGACTCGGCGAGTCGTATAGGTGACTCGGCGAGTCTGGTCGCGAGTCACCGATTTGGTCCCTTCATGATGTGTCGAGTTGAGCCGTGAGTCACAGGGGGTGACTCGGTGAGTTGGGAGCTGAACTCACCCATGTTAGGACTCGGCGAGTCAATGCCCTGACTCGGCGAGTCCAAGGCAATCTTCATAGATCAAGAACAGACTCGGCGAGTTGTTCATACAACTCGGCGAGTCTTAGCATATGTGTTCTTCGGATGAAGATGAACTCGACGAGTTGTTCATACAACTCGGCGAGTAGGATGAAGGAGTTGAATGTCAGTTTAGAAGATGAACTCGTCGAGTCATAGCCCAACTCGACGAGTAGAATCAGGGACCCAGGACAATTGTCTGGACAGGGACTCGGCGAGTGGAGATCCACTCGGCGAGTCGGGTCAACTAAAAGTTGACTTCGAATTGACTTAGGGCTAGACCAGGGGAAAATGGTCTTTTTACCCAAAGGACAGTTAGCAGTGTATGATTAAGTATATTGTGGGAATTACAGCCGGGGAGTTTCCGGAGCAGCAGCAGCAGTAGTAGGTGATCAATTCCCACACAGACCAGCAGCTATTTCGAGGTGAGTTTCCTTCCAGTAGTAACGGGTCTAAGGCACCAAGGCCGGCCCGTATAGACGAGACGTTAGTATTAGAGTGTGGGCCGAGCCCGTATCTCTTAGTTGAGTTGATTATGATATATGCCAGTATGATAGAATTGTTTACACTTGTTGTCTGTGCGATACTTGTATGATATGAGTTGGCGGTTGAGTGTGGGCGAGGCCCGTATCTCTCCGAGAATGGAGTGTGGGCTAGGCCCGTATCTCCCAGATAGCGAAGTGTGGGCGGGGCCCGTATCTTCACGAGTGTGGGCGGGGCCCGTATCTCTCAGAAAGCGAAGTGTGGGCGGGGCCCGTATCTTCACGAGTGTGGGCGTGGCCCGTATCTCCTAATTGCATGTTGTTTGTTAAATGCTTGCATGGTTTGGGGTATTATGGGGGAGCTCACTAAGCTTTGTGCTTACGGTTTCAGTTTTGGTTTCAGGTACCTCCTCAGCTAGGGGAAAGGAGCCGGCGCGGTAGCAGCATGTCACACACACACTCTTCGGTTTCCGCATTTACGAGCTTTTCTGGGATTGATACTCTGATATTCTGATTAGTTGTATGTTTTGGTTTTCAGACATGGTTCAGTTTATATTATGGATGATCGAATGATGTTTTAGTTATTAATATTTTCTAAAGTAACGTTTTTAAACAAAACAAAAAATTTCAATTGCATGGTTTCATGTTGGTCTGATCTTCATGGTCTCTTATACAAGGCACTCCCTGTAGATATATTCTTCTAGAATCATTTGTTTCTATCATTACATGTATATAATGACAATAAATCTTTTAAAGTTCAATGGAAAGAATCTTAAATGGGAAAAATGTTTGGGATTGTTGGTGATTATTTAGTTGCAGCAGATGGTTGTTTGTCTTCAATTTGCCAGATATTCCCTCCTGGCCTCAAATTAAGGGTTGTAATACAAGATGAATTTGAAGTATCTTAATGTATTTCTACCAAGTTTTTTTCTATTCGTTTATTAATGTAAAGATAACAATGGTGTTTATTAATAGCAACCTAATGTGTAATATGCAGGTTATTACCATCTTACTTTCTTTCTTTCTTTTTGTATTTAAAAAGGGTATAATTGGTAATTTGAAAAGCATGTAAAATTTTTGATAAGGATGATCTTTTTCGCCCACTGATTTTTTTTTCAAGTTGTATGATAAGGAAGAAATTACAAGTAGTAGTACTCTACTTTTGATAAATATGCAGGTTAATATCAACTTACGTTATTTATATCTTTTTGGATTTAGGAATGTTATAATTTGTAAATTGACCATTCGTGCTTGATGCTCATAAATTTGTTATTACTTATTAGCAATGAGTATTATAGATCGAATGAAAGTGCGATATTATAATAATAAAGAAATTGAATGTATGCTGTTTTTTCTTATCATAGCATTTGTCTTTCATTTCCTCCCATTACAATAAATCTTTTCATTTATTTTAGACAAAATTGCAAAAATGGTCCCTGTGGTTTGCATTTTTTCAGGAAAAAAGTCCAAACCACGAGTTTTTTGGTTTTGTGGTCCTTTTGGACTGGTTTGTTTGTGAGAATGGTCCCTATACTTAACACCAGTTAAATTCCATCCGTTAACCCCCTCATGTGCCTTGCACGTGAGGGTATTTCTGTCCTTTTACTTATAGGGACCAACACTTCCTTCTACCTTTTATCCCTCATTTACAATCCCAAACACCCGTCAACTCCCCACCTCCCTCCTTCTTCCTTCTGCTCCATTAAACCTGCAAAAAAAAAGTCGTTATCGAAAGAACCTAATCGAAGCAAAAGGAGACAAGGTCATACTTTAAAGTCGAAATGGTGTACGTAATGTGGCAGATCAGACCAAAAAATGAAGTTGTCGACGTATCATCCTTATATGGTAAGTTGCTCTGTTTTCTTAAACATTCCTATTTTTCATTTTACCCTTGATTTATACTAAAATCCGCCAAATTTTGACTTTGTTATCATGTACAATTTTGACTTGTAGCGGGTGCACCCACATGGTTTAGTATTAAGCTTCATCATGGTGGGAAGTTTACTAAGTTACCTGACATAAAGTATACTGGAGGTGAAGTGCGTTATGTTGATTATGTGGACATAGATGAGTTTTCTGTACATGAACTTGATGCCATAATGCTTGACCTAGGTTACCCAGACCCACGGATGATTGAATTGAGTGTTGAATCCCCAGTGATATACTACCATTTCAGGATACCCAATGGTGACTTTCAATTTGGTCTTAGAGCTTTAGGGAATGATCAGGATGTTATCAATCTTTCTAAATTTATTCAAAATAACAAGTTGATTGAAGTGTACACAGAACATGGGAAGACAAATCTACTCACATACTTCATGTCTCCAAATGCAAAGGGTAAAGTTGTCATTGAGGAATTACCAGAAAATGATGATCAAGGGGCTAAATATGAGGCTGAAGTTCATGTAGAATCTCCATTGAGAAATATGAACCATGTCAATGATGAACCAATTGGTGAGTACATGTCTTTGATTCTTTTTGGGAGTAAAACTGATGCATTCTCTCCAGAGTATAGAAGGGGTAGAGTTGGGAATTCAAAAAGAGAGGAAGGTTCTTGTAGCAAGAGGCTTAATTTAGAGGATATTGATGATTTAAAAGAGAAGGAAAACACTAATGAGGGTGTTAAGGAGGTTCATGAGGCTGCAACTGTTGTTGAAGGATGCTACAATCCATTTACTTCAAATATTGCTAATGTAGGGGATGAGATGATTGGGGTTCATGATAATGACCATATTGATGGATGCTACAACACCCCACCCATTAATGATGATGAACAATATAATGAACTTTTTGACAACCTTATGGAAAATTTAAATGGAAGTGATGAGTATGTTGAAGAGTATGAAGGGGATGTTGAATCTGAAGAGAGTGATGAAGAGTATGAAAAGGATGAAGGTGATGATCATGATGGGAAACAATCAGAAAATGAAGATAAAGTGGATGACATAATGGATGAGGAGAACAATATAGAAGATGTTGATGTGGACATGGCAGACTTCTTTTAAATGTTGAAAGTGATGTTGAAGGAGCATGTATTAATGATGGTCATGAACCTGAAGATATGGAAGTGATCAACAATGAGGAGTTCGAATCATTGGATGAAGGATCAGACCAAGACAGAGAAAGAAGAGCTCTCATAAGAAATTTGGGAAAAGAAAAAAGGTGCAACCTTGGGTCAGTACATATACAGTCATTCTCAGTGGGGCAAAAGTTTAAAAGTAAAAAAGAATTAAAGGAGTTAATTGATGTGCACGCACTAGAAACAAGAAGGAATCTATTCTTTAAAAAAAATGACAGTCAAAGGCTTAGGGCACAGTGCAGAGGAGTTGTACCTGTCATCAATAAAGGTCAAGTGGGGACTAAACCTACCACTTCAAAAAGCAAGGGCAAAGAAGTAAAGACACAAAAAGAAACATGTGGTTGGTATATACATGCATCTAGGTCAAACCCCGAATCTGATTGGTTTATAAGGACCTTAAACCAAACTCATACATGCTTACAAACAAGAAAACTCAGAGCTTGTACTGCTTCTTTAATCTGCAAGAAAATCATAGATCAAGTTGAGGCAGATCCGAAGATTCCTTTGAGAGCCATACAAGATCACTTTCAAAAGACCTACCAGGTGGGTATTTCAATGGATAAGGTGTTTAGGGCAAAAGATATGGCAAGAAAGCATGTAACTGGGGACTACACAAAACAGTTTGAGTTGTTGAGGGACTATGCTCTTGAACTTCAAGCTACAAACCCAGACACAACAGTCAAAATAGATGTGTGTCCTAATGGCAACCCTGCATCCCCAACAAGGCAGTTTAGAAGGATTTATGTATGCTTGGGTCCACTGAAAAAAGGTTTCAAAGCATGTCTTAGAGACTTAGTAGGTTTGGATGGTGCCTTCATGAAAGGCCCATTCCCTGGTCAGGTTCTTACAGCAGTTGGTCTAGATTCCAACAATGGAATTTATCCCTTAGCCTATGCAATTGTTGAGTCTGAAAACACAGCTAGCTGGAAGTGGTTTTTAGAAAACCTTGGGGATGACTTGGAGCTTGGGAGCAACTCAAACTATACTTTCATAAGTGACAGGCAAAAGGTAAATTAAAACTCATCAATTGATCATTTAGATTGTGTTTTTTTACCAAGAAATTAATTCTAATTATTGTATGTTGAGTCATGTAGGGATTACAAATTGCAGTTGATCAATTGTTTCCCAATGCTGAGCATAGGTATTGTATTAGACATATTCATGACAATATGAGAAAGAAGTGGGGGCAAACTGAGTACAGGGACCATTTATGGAGGTGTGCATCAGCAACCACCATTCCTGAGTTTGAACATTTGATGAAAGAGTTTAGTGAGTATGATAAGGAGGCATGTCAATGGTTGAAGCAAATTCCTCCTGTACATTGGGCAAGGAGTCATTTCTCAGGTAATTGTATATGTTTGCATATGGTAAAGATTATGTGTTTCAGTTATTTATCAGCATTAATTGTATGTTATTGTAATGTGCAGGAAGAGCTGTTTCTGATGTGTTGATTTCAAACATGTGTGAAGTGTTTAATGGGAAGATAGAGAAAGGCAGGGACAAACCTGTAATTTCATGTTTAGAGTTCATTAGGGAGTATCTAATGAAGAGGATATGCAATGTCATGAAGGCAATGAAGAAGGCTAAAGGTCCACTAACACCTACAGCAACAGACATCCTAGATGCAAGGAAAAAAGTGCTTCACAATATATTGCTAGGTGGAATGGGGCAAACAAGTATCAAGTCACTGCAGCATTGCAAGATCAACATGTGGTGGATGTTAGGAACCAAACCTGTACTTGCAGAAAGTGGGAATTAATGGGAATACCTTGCAGGCATGCAATTGCAACTCTGAATGAAATGAGCAAAGACCCTGAGGCTGAGCTTGACATTTACAAGTGGGTACACAAGGTGTATTGGCTAGAGACATGGCAAAAAGCTTATTCATTTAAGGTGGAACCAATTAAAGGGAGACCCATGTGGCCTAAAAGTAATTGTCCAACAAAGCTAATCCCTCCTCCACATCACACTCAGGTGGGAAGGCCTAAGAAAAAAAGAAGACAAAGTGAGGGTGAAAGGTTAAGCAAAAGGCAGAAGGCAAGTGCAGGTGATGGAGTCAATGAGATGCAAGGAGAAAATTCCCAAGGGCCAAGAAATGATGGAGTGCAGAAGCTATCAAGGAAACATGTTAGTGTTACTTGTAGCAAATGCAAGAATAAAGGACACAACTCTAGGACCTGTAAAGGGCAAGGAGGGAATCAATCTAAGAAGTGATTGTGGTTATTTGTTGTGGTGCAATGACTATTTAGTTTCTTGTTGTTAAAAACTGTTTGTTTTTGAAAACTTTAGTTATGGTTTGATGATGTGGTTATGTATGGTGCACAGACACTTGTATGCTTAACTTGGTAATGGTTTTTGGTTCCACTCATGTGGTTAATGGAATGTTCATTTTGGTAAATTTATGACATGTATTTTGGTAATGTACTTTTGTTACATTTTGGTTCTATTTATGTGCTTATATCTGACAACTGATACACATTTTGAACACAACTGATACACATTTTGGAATTCATTACAAACATGATGAAGTCAAATTACAACAAAATTATACCATTTTTACCCTGCATCACTTGATCAACAAAAATCCCCACATTTGCCTAACCCTATCCCTTACATAGACCAAGTACTAAAGATAACAATCACAAACATAAACCAACTTGCACATAAATACATCTTCAGCTTGAAACCTTCATCCTTCAATGCATCACACCTTGCCTCCAACATGTTGTTCCTGCTCAAAAGTCCATTGCACTGTTCCTGTAACATGTTGATACTTCTTACCAGCCCATTACATCTTTCCTCCAATGTATTTATGTTTCTTAGAAGACCAGGTATGATGGTTTTACTCCTAGCACAAATAGGTGGGTCAACCCACCCGATAAACCCACAAACAGAATCCTTAGTAGGGCAAGCATAAAACCTCCTGCCGGGATTCAGTGGTGTCCAAGACGTTTTCACCAAAGCAAGCTTTCCACAAAAACAAACCACCATTGTTCGATTGCAAGTCAGGAAATGAGAAATGGAAGATAATAGTCGTTGGGGAAGAACAGTTAAGAACGTTGGGGAAGAAGATTTGTTGGGGAAGAAGCTGGGAAAAGAAAAGAAAACGATATATAAAGGATGTTTTATTTTTCCATATGCAAAAATGGTCCCTATAAGTAAAAGGACAGAAATACCCTCACGTGCAAGGCACATGAGGGGGTTAACGGATGGAATTTAACTGGTGTTAAGTATAGGGACCATTCTCACAAACAAACCAGTCCAAAAGGACCACAAAACCAAAAAACTCGTGGTTTGGACTTTTTTCCTGAAAAAATGCAAACCACAGGGACCATTTTTGCAATTAAGTCTTTATTTTATTTTATAGCAGTTACAAATTACAAATAGTATTTTTTGTTATCAATCATGGATTTCAACGTGTTTAAACCTAATATATATATATATATATATATATATAAAAAGTGGGCCAAAAATATTATTACCTAGCTATATAACGGAAACTATATGTCCTATAAAGTGGGCCAAAAACAAAGTGTAGGTGTGGCACCACCATCAATGGTTGCAAACGTATTGATTAGAGTATCTATGTGTCCCTGTGACATTAATGTTTGCCTAAATTTAGTTAAATAATAGCATTAGTGTGGACGGGTATGCATATGGAATTTTTTGATGACTTTCAATTTGATCCTAAAAAACTGTTCTGATATTCTTTATTTGAGGAAAAGAATGAATCTCTAATAGGGATAATGATTTAAAGGATAATATATATTTTTTAATTTGTACATATTTGGTCATTAAGTTTATTTTTTGTTCACATTTATCTCTTCAACTTGTTAAACTGTACACATTCAGTCCTTATGATTAGTTATTTCAGGTTAATCGGTAAAAATATCTTAATAGGGTAATATATTTCTGATTTTATAAACATTTAGTCCTTAATATTTATGTACACATTTAATCCTTAATTTTTTTTGTTGCAAAATAATTTATTTTGTTTTTGTACTCATTCAATACTTATGAATGTTTTCTTTAAGTTTTTCTCACAACATCTTACATGGAACAATCATTAAAGATGTGTTTTAGCCTTTTGATGTTTATATCCATCGCGATCTCAACTACTTTGTTGCTTAGTTAATGTGTTTTGAACGTCATAATTTTTTCATATTATCTCGGATTTTAACGATTTGTTATATCTATGCGTTTGTATTTTAGTCTACTACAACTTTTGCTTAGATTACTACCGTTAAAAAGTAATATATATATATATATATATATATATATATATATATATATATATATATATATATATATATATTAATTACAATCTTTATATCCATACGTTTTTAACTAATGCATGTATGGATGTTTTTTTTTTATAAAATCGTAACTAAAACATATTATATTTTAATAGGAGTAATCTTAACGAAAGTTATAGCAGACTTAAAAAACGAACAAGTAGATATAAAGATTGTTAAAATCATATATCGTATGAAGAAGTTACGACGTTCGGAATACAAAACCTAAGCCAAACCACAAGACATATGCAACCAAGCAGTCGAGGCCGTGATGGACATAAGGATCAACAACCTCAAACACCTCATCAATGAGGAACGGTCGCAGGATTTGGTAGTAGGTATTGTCGGTAAGTAGAAAAAATATAAAAAAAAATATCGCAAAATTTACAATGTACAGAAAAAGCAGGGGTTGTCGGTGCAACTGCGGGGACCCAAAGAGAACCGTCATTGTTATCAGTGATAGTCTCATGTTAGATATCGTGAGAAAAACCCTAAATAAATCATTCATAAGTATTGAATTTGTACAAAAACAAAAAATAACTTATTTTGAAATATATATCTATCTATCTATATATATATATATATATATATATATATATATATATATATATATATATATATATATTAAGGACTAAATGTGTACAAAATGAAAAATATATTACCCTAATAAATCATTTTTCTCGGCTAACCTGGAGTAACCGGTCATAAAAACTGGATGTGTACAGTTTAACAAGTTAAAGGGGTAAATATGGACGAAAAAAAACTCAATGATCAAATGTGTACAAATCTAAAAATATATTACCCTTTTAAATCATTATCCCTCTCTAATATCCATAACCATTATTTTTAGAAAATTAAAGACGATACCATACAAAAGTTCATATTACATTATCCGGAAGAGCTTATGAGACATTTTTTTAATAGAATACAAAATTTGAGAAAATGTTGAAATGCAATCCATGATTCGAGTAACTAATACCATTATATGAGCTACCTAAATAACATTATAATTGCAATTTATTTGCATGTATATATTTTCATAAAAACTTATAAATGTATCCACAAGATTTGTAAAATTATATATTGTTAAACACATTAAACAGCATGCATTTATAACAAAATATTATGTTGTGTAATGTCAAGAATCCATGATATTATAATCTATAAACATGTTTAAAATATCATTTTGTACCACATGCATTACCGGTTGAATTGTTTTTACCATGTTGGATGTATAAGATCATAAATGGAGAATTACGGGCCACAAGGGATTGGCCCACATTGCCAATTTTGTAATTAACAAATAAATACTTACGTTTATTTTATGTTTTTTAGGCATTGTCTATGATTTTTTTTATAATCCCATTTTTAACCTGCAAATCTACTCTACTCCTAAGCTAACAACACATATTCCACTTATATCCACGATGAGACTTGAACCCTCGACCTTAAAAAAAAAGGCACCATCTGATACCGCTCGGCTACAAACCCTTTGGTATCCCATTAACTATATAATCAATAAAGTATTATCGTTTTTCTTAAATGTCATTCGTCACTTCCACTTATATCTCGTGCCAACTCTGAATTAGCCATAATAATTTCGGTTATATATTTTTTTTCTAATACTTGTTCAAGTGTTTTGTTGAATCGTTTGCTTTTGATTTGTTGATAAATTTATCGTTTTTATGTGTGATGATGAGATCATCAATCAATGGACTTCAAACAAATGAAGACTCATAAAATGTAATATAATATTTATGTACAATTTTAAATATTAAGCAATTTTTTGAAAACACTATTTGAATTTCAACTATGTTGATTCCCGTATTCAAATTTCTTGATCCAATACTATAGAGACGCTAGAAAATAACACCAGCTGTGAGATTTCGAAAACCCTATACAATCTAACAAAAAATATACCTTAAAACTAGAAAATCTAAAATTTTAAACAAAACAATTGTTGCTTAAATATACTCAATTTTTTTATAGCATTGTGCATTTACTTTTACAACATTGTATTTTTGTTCTTAAATTTTATATTAAGCCATTGAACTTAGATAACTATACTTAATTATAGCATTATATTTTCAATTTATCAAATTACAATGATGTTATAGGAAAAGTAGAAGTAAATGTAATAAACAGTTCAACAAAAGTACATTAGTGTTTATTACTAAGCCTAAGAAAAAAATAAAGAAATCTAGGTATCTTGATTATTCATAGAAAAAACAAGAAATTATCATAACTTTAGTTAGTCGTTCAAATCAAGAAGATCGTTAAACATGATTGTTCATAAAAAATCAACAAAAGTAATATTTTTCACTTATACAACCAAGAATCAAGAAGTCATTAATCTTGACTTAATAAAACAAGAATCAAGAATCTCACAAAATATGATGATTCTTAGTCGTTCATCTATATTTGAATCCAAACTTTAAAGTTACAATCATAGTTGATGTTTTAG